AATAAAAAGCAAAAGTAATAATCCAAAAGAAGAATAAGCAAAGTTTATTAATAGTTTGTAGGATACGAACTGCAAATTTTGCTTAGAAATTCTTTTCTTTTTCCTTTTTTGTGGAGGGTAGGATTGAGGCAAGCTTATTGAGTGTGAAGATGACTTCCAGTTTTGATCCCTTGGTCATTTTCAATGGTACCTTCCTTCTCTTGTTTTATCTCCTTTCTCTGTATTTGAATTGTGCTTTCTATGGAAACGATATGGTATAATAATGTCACCTAATTCCAGTATCCATAGAGAAATTCAAGTCCTTCTGTGTATACTGTTTGTTTCTATATATACATACCTATGGTAAATTTTGACTTAGAAGCTTGGCACAATATGAAATTGGCAACAATATTAAAATAGAACAGTTTTAACAATAATTTTATAACTCTTGTGAATTTGTGTCTGTCTCAAAATAACTTATTGTGCTACACTCACATTTGTTAGGATGCTTGAATACAAACAGTACAATGTCTTTTTGGGGGAGGGTGGTAGTGGGGATCGAACTCAGGACCTTGCACTTGCCAGGCAGGCGCAGCACCACTGAGCTAAATCCCCAGCCCTGCAGTTAGTGTCTTTTGATAACCAGGATGGCTGCTGTGACTGATGGGAGATCCGTGCACTGCATGAGTTCACTGGACAAAGGACGGGTCCCATCCAGGCTGCGCAGGATGGGGTGGGAAGGCCTGCAGTTTAAAAGTTACCAGTGTTTTATTCCTGGAATTTTCCATTTAATATTTTCAAGCCTCATTTGACCTTAGGGAGCTGAAGGAGTTGGTGGAGGACTACTGTAGTCAGCTAGGCTGTTCAGCATTTATACCCACAGGTGCCTGAGTTAACAAAAGCAGGTATCACCACCATATAATTACTGAAAAGAGGCTGTTTTGCATATATTCTCCCGGTTTTTATAGTTAATGTCTACATTGTCAGAACAAGTACATTGTATATATTTTTTCCTTTCTAGCCCTTTCCCATTCTCATTTCTCAAGTAAATACATTTACTGTACAGTGATACCAACATTTCCTCAGTCATTTTGGGTAAATGGGCCTTGTCCTCCAGATTCTTACTTCCCCTTTTCCATATTACGTTGCAGTATTTGCACTTTGGTTTTCTTTGTTATTTGAATATTGGCTTTTCTTTTTCTGTGTTCTGAATTTGTGATTTTTCTCTTGAAACACTTTTACCTTTTTTACCCCTTTTGGCTTCTTATGCTTTTTGCTTTTTACTTTGTAGTTCTTTTGAGCCACTTAAAATTTTATTCAGTATTATATGTTTCTTTTCATTTAATCTTCATTTCTGAAATAATTTTGCCTTTTTGTGTGTTTGTACTGGAGACTGAACACAGTCAACAAGCACGTCCTCTACTACTGAGCTATATACCTAGTCCTTTTGTCTTTTACATTATTGTCTTTGACCACCTAATTAGTTTTAAAAATTCTTATTCTTACCTTATTAAAAAATTCACAAATAGCTTTTAATTTCCACAAATAAATGTTTGGGTCAGAAAAAAAAATTCTTATTCTTTTTTTTTTTTTTTTTTTTGGTACAGTTATTTAAACTCAGGTTTTGGCTTTCCAGC